ACTCGTCATCGTCGAGCCGTCCGGCGACGATGTCGTCCAGCCCCTTGGCCAAGCATCTTGTCCCCCGCTTCCAGGTCTCCCGCCCCGAGGGTGGCCCCGACCAGCGGCTTCCACACCAGGGACGGCAGCGCCAGCGGGACGTGGATGCGGTGGCGCCCGGCCACCCCCAGCAGCCGCCCCATGTGGTGGAACAGGGACAAGCGGGCGGGGTCTGGACCTCCTCCCCCCGCGGCCGCCGCCGCCGCCGCTACTCCTCCCGTACTGCCCCCGCCGCTTGCCGCCGCTGCCGCCGTCGGCGGGGTGCGTGGGTCCAGCAGCACCTTGTCTTGGTTGGGGCCGAAGCGGTTGCGGCCGTTGGGGCACGGGGTGAGGAGGCCGAGCAGCCCCGAGGGCTCCTCGCCCATGGCGGTCTGGAACACCGCGCGGTAGGGCCCGCCGTGGTCGTCGACCCCTTCCCCCTTGAAGCGCACGTAGAAGGCCCGCGGTTGGCCAGCATCCTGGGTGTAGGCCGGGCGGGGCGATCGGGGGAGGGTGTCAGGTGAGGTTGGAGCAGCGTGAACTTGGACTTATTGTTTTTCTCGTTCAAAAATACACCGAAATCATCCTATTCCACACAGATACCCAGAAGGTTTTGGGTGTGAAAAACTCTTGACGGAGACTCAGATACGAAGGCGCGCCCATTGCTGTCTGACGAAGGCGGTACACAGGTGAGGCATCGGAGGTGTTTCGTAACGACGTTGTGAGTCCCAACCAAGGCCGGAGGTGAGCATGAATGCTTGCCGTTATCGAAGGGATCGTAGACAGCGCGGGGGCAAAAAAAAACTTCGTCCCCGAACTTCGACAGCAGCCGTCGCGCCGTTTCGGAACGGGAAATCTTTCACCACCCCTCACGGTAACCCTCAAAAGCCGTACCCAAGGGACCACAACAGCAGTAGCAATGCCCCGCCTTTCCCACGACAACGAGAGAGAAACAAATCGTCAGCAGTGGCGTACACAAGCCAGGTAGCAGGCCGTAAGCAACGACAAATGAGCAGTCCCCCACGCACACATACCTGCATGTGGACGAAGCTTCGCCTCAAGTCCCGGTCCTCCCAATCCGACATGGCCTCGTTCAGCTGGCCAAGCAGAGACGCCCGAAGCTTGTCGCCGAAGTTGAGAGCGTCGGCCTCTACCGCCATGCTCCGAGCCTTGACGCGGTTGACCTCGATCTCGCGGATCTCCTCCGGCCGCTCGTACTCATCCGGGTTGGGAAGCGTGAAGGTAGTCGTCTCCTGCACGACCTCGCTCCAGTAGCTCATCTGCACGTATTGTACCCATCGTTAAAATTAGTTGTTTTAAAGGGAGGGGTGGAAAAAAGTTGAACGCGGCATGTGACGATAAGTTGAGGTCGGCATGTGCCGATACAAAAAACAGGAGATGATTCCGCATAGATCGCGTGTAAGGCTGTACGTTGTGTCTGCAAGGTGGGCGCTCATGTTTCTCTTAACTCCCCGTGGCCAGTGTTCGTGGTGAGGTCATGCCGTACTGTTGGGTATGTATTTAGTGCTGTTTGCTCTCTGGCAGTGATGCTTCTTTGATGCCGGTAAATAAATTATGCGGCAACAGAAAGCGCTCGAAACGAGGCAAACCAACAAACCTATCGCCACAAACACCCAAAACCCTACCGCCTAGCAACCACACTCCCCCGCGGTTGGTTTTGAACCACACCAGCTCACCACGAAGAAACAAAACCACAGCCAGGCGCAACCCCCCCCCGGCCACAACAGACCCACCTTCATCTGCGTGAACAGCAGCCCTCTGAGGTCGGCCACCGCCGCCCCCGACGGGCTCCGGACCCCGACCGACACGCCGGGCACGTCGGCGGCCCGCTGCAGGTCGTTCTTCGTCACCGCCAGCGGCGCCCGGCTCTCGCGCGACAGGTCCAGCAGCGGCAGCGCCACCGACAGCCTCGCGTTCAGCTCCACGAGCAGCATCAGTCGCGCGCCTAGCTTCTCCGCGCTCATGCTGGCGAGGGCGGGGCCGCCGAGCCCCGGCCCGGCCGCCTCCACCGCCTCCGACAGCTGCGCCTCCGAGAGGTGGGACGGGGGCACCCCGCGGCGGCCGGCGACGACGTTGGCGACGCGCACCAGGGCATCGTCGAGGGCCAGGGACCCCCAGCCTTCGGTGGCGAGGGCGGCGAACTCCCGCGACCCGCACGGCGGTGCTGCCGTTGTCGTGGGTCCCGCCGCCGCCGCCGCCGCCGCCGCCGCTGGTACCTCCGCTGTCGATGCCGCCGCTGCCGCGGTGGAATCGTCCGCCGTACCAGCGGCGCCGGTCGATGCGACCTTTTCTTCTTCCTTCGACTCGCTCGTAGACACCGGCGGCACCGCAGCGGCCGCAGCGGCAGTGGCGCCGTCTCCTTGCGAAGGCGCGGCGGGGGCACCGCCGGTGGTGGCAGCAGCCTCCTCCGAAGACGAAGCATCGGCGGCAGCGGCGGTGGCAGCATCCCCGTCCCCGCTCAATCAACCTCAGGCGGGCGCTGTTGAGCAGGTCCGACAGCTCCTCCCGTGTCCAGTACCACGCCCCTGAGTCATCCCCATCCAGGACGAACCACACGTCCGCCCGCAGGGACCCCAGCACCCTCCCCTCCCCGTACGGCGTCTCCACGCGCTGCCCCACCCGGATTCCACCAAAGTCGTCGGCAACGCCTCCCGCGGCCAGCTGGAGCGCCGCGTGGGTCACGTCCACCTCGCAGGACACCCCGGCCCGCGACGGGAAGGCGCTGAACCGGCCCCTCCGCCACTTGGAGTAGCGGCGGCGGGCGCCGTCCACAAGGGACTGCGGGGGCGGGGCGCCGGCGACGATGGACCGCCGGAGCTCCCGCGCGGCGACGATAGCGTCCACCGCCTGTCGAACCCGCCTCGCGTGCCCGAGCCCCCTCCGGCTGAACCACTTCTGCCCGCCGATGGTCATCTGGTCGCCGAGGCTCTTGACGCCGAAGCAAGGGTACATGGCCAGGCCGTGGTGGCCGGCAGCGTCGGTCCGCCCCACGCGGCGGAGGTGGTGGTAGGCGATGCCCATGTTCACCACGACCGGACGGCCCATGTTGAAGTCGTCCCCGTCCTTGACAAACGAGACGGTGCCCCGGTCCATGTCTAGGAGGACTCCCACTCGGTCCCCTGGGTGGTGGCCAAGAAAAGAGGAGTATTGGTTAGGGCGGGGAAAGGTTATTGTGTGTGTGGGGGGGGGAGACATGGTTTTTAGGGCGGGAAGAGGCGATACGTTTGAGGGCAGAAACAAGGCATGGGAGCAAAAGAAAAGGTGTGACGGCGGGAAAAAATGTTCTTCGAAATGCGAGACAGAAAATTACGGCGGAAGAAATCATACGAGAGCGAAAACAGGCACTACATAGGGTTGAGGGTGGAAAAAGGGTATATGGAGAGAAGGGGAAACGGCTGAAACAAACAGACAGACCATACCGCAGGAGATGCGGGTCTCTCCCTCGTTGTAGAACATTCAACCAAAAGGCGACACGCACGTACAGTTCACTCCTCGAAAAAACATGGTTTCTATCCCTTTCCTGCCCTCTCCCAGTCGGGGGGGCGAAACGACTTCAGTTCACTCCTTCCACCCCTGAAAACCACGTCCGGCACCCCCAGTACACCCCGCACCACTCACCAGCAGCATAGTACGCCCCGTAAATGATCTCCGACCCGTACGCCTGGCACGCGCGGTAGTTCAGGAAGCCGTACCCGTTCCACGTAGAGGCATGCCGCGGAGCAACTCCCAGGAACACGCTTCCCCAGTTGGAGCGGTCGACCTTGACCTGCCGAGCGAGTTGTTGCAGGCGAGGCAGAGACAGAGAGCGTGTTGGACAGGCATCGCCAGTGAGCGTCGCTAAAAAAAGACAACAGCAGTAGACACCAAGTCCGAGGGGGCGAGCAGATCCACACGGCAACTGAACAAACGCCCACCCGCGGGGATTAAACTGTCCGGGGACCTAACCGGCAGCGAACATGTCTTAACCTTGTAGACGGCGGCCACAGAGGGTCATGGTCGCTTTTGGGCCCAATCGCCATCACGACCAACCAGGGCCGAACCAACAAACGGAAAAAATCAACAAACACGCCTCCCTTTTCCACACACACACACACACCACTCGCCTCCAACATTCGTGAGACACCCTTGGCAAAGTGGGAAGGAACGATTGGCAATCGGTCCTGTGGGGACAATGCCCCGTCATCTCGAGGACGCGTGGTCAATGGTCTAACACCAAGGCATGCAAAATATGAGTACCCTCCCCCCCCCCCTACGGTGTTTGCCATCGGGGTTGGGTTTTCGTCGCGTGGCAACGACGTTGTAAAACAAGCCGCCGCCCCCGGTGTTTGCCATCGGGGTTGGGTTTTCGTCGCTTGGCAACGACGTTGTAAAACAAGCCCCCCCCTCGGTGTTTGCCATCGGGATTGGGTTTTCGTCGCTTGGCAACGACGTTGTAAAACAAGCCAATTCACTTCGTGAACTCGGCAACAAGGTTACCGGGTTTTTTACCTCGGTTTTTTTTTTGGCGGTACCCATAATGGTGGTCGAGTAGATCATGTTGTGCGGGGTGGAGAAACCTCACTCCGCGCAAGGGGGATGATCGCACCACGTTGTGTTAAAATGGTCAAGCATCCTCGAGGCAGCTACACAGTGTTTATAACTGTCTCTGGAAGTGAAAGCACCAGAAAATAAATTAACTCATACGCAGCTGTCATCCGTACGCAAGGAAGTAAGCACAAATTGCCGAACACCCTTAGCAGGATGCAGCTCACCCTTCATGCGGCTCGCCGAATACCTCACGGCGCTTCGCGCTTGGTGATGTGAGAGCCTGGTCCGGTGAGAACCCGGCGAGCTCCGTCCCGGCTTAGTAGGGATGCGAGGTCAATGGTCTAACGACTACGGCATGCACGACTATGAGTAACCCCCCCCCCCCCCCCCCCCCCCC